CTAAACAAACCTAATCACACAATAATTCCAACAAAGCCGTGGATAAAAGCCAGACTTGACAGTCATCGGGCCAGGTAATGTAGAGAACTCTCCTGTCAAACATCAATACAGACTTAACGCTGCCTTTCTCTCTCCGCAAGCTTCTGTTTGCAAGTCACTGCGGCACTCATTTCGCCTCATCATTGACAGGCACAACACAACGCAACAAAGGCATTAATTGATCATCATTAAATAAATTTATGGTCGTACTTTAAGTAGATGTTTTAATCCAAATGATGAGTGTGTGCGAGATGGAGAAACTAAAGCTCTTCAACAATGAGTTAGTTTTGTATGGAGACACAGGTGAGTGGGACGGAATACAATAAGAAAACCTGACAAGAATTCATTAGAAATCCGTAAATAAAACAGATGACTACTACATCTGTAACTTACACCTGATTGTCTGCCTCCACAATTGAATTTTTTCCTTGTCCCTTATTATACACATCAATGTACACACGTATTTTAGTTTTTCTAGGATCTCTAGCAGAGACCAGTGTCAAATAAGGAAATTAGATTTAGTTTCTAGGTGATGTCATTGTTTACAAGAGAAATACTCACAGGAGTTAAGCTTTCCTAGTTTTAACTCATTTGTTTGAAAAAATAAAATTTACTTAGTCAGATTTCGATGAAATCAGACAAAGCCCTAAATACACTACAAATTTATATTCATTTTTTCCCCAATATTATCCTTTCTGTTTTTCTATAATAAACCATAAACGGCAAGGCTGAAACATGTCCTGGTTTTCATTTCTACACAGAAACTCTCCTTTATCTCAACATTGATTAAATTTAAAATCTCTTTTGATATTTAAGTGAATTTCTTTCAAACCAATGTAGACTGACACAGTGTAACAGTCCCACATACTTTCCCCTTTATTAATCTGTTATAGACCTCCATTTCCCTGTGTATACAAGAGTTTGAATCATCCTTGTTCAGATTTCAAAAATAATTTATAATCAATATTTGTGCGTGACCTATGTACAGGTAAGGTACAATTTCCATTGAAGCCATTCTCTACACAGGTAACAATAAAACAGCTAACAAATAAACAGGTAAGTGTTGTGGACAATAACTACACAGTTTGGTCACCTGGGCCTCATGTTTGATCTCCGGCTTCAGCAACTCAAATCTCATTCTGTTTCCTATCAATGTCACTGTTTGAACAGATTTGAACACCCGAACTGAGCATGGGATGTCATTTTCCTTTTTAATTTTTCAACAGTGTTTTATGATGTTTCCCCGGCAACAGATGTAGTTTTTCAGGTGAATAAAGATGAATTTAGTTTGTAAAGCCAGAGAGGAATACCTGGATAAAGGACTGATGTTGGCTGTCATACGTAGTCTAATTTGACAGGTAGAGCGACACAAGGACCAGCCTTATTGATATCATATTGGATGTATTGATTGAAAGTTTCTATACAAATGATCAAAGCACCTTATTCACAGAGGCCCAATGAGGAGCAAGGGCTTGAACTATTAACACCATACTGAAAATACACAAAATTGCATCCTCACACCCTCTTCTCGTCCATGTCCCTCAACAAAAAGACTTTACTATCATAATCTTAATCAATAAAAACTGCATTTTTAGGACTAAGTACAATATTTTAAAAAAGGAATCCCTACTATTCTTGAGCCTTTGAAGTGACCCCTGCGGGGTGACACTTAAAGCCCTATTCCACCTATCGAAATGTACAGAATACAATGTAATTTTAGATAACATTTTAATAAAGCAGAGGGTTGGACTGGTATCTGGGTTGACACTATGTTATTACAAGACAAAAATTGACTTTTAAACAATCCAAAAATGAGCCAAAAAGAGACTTGCCAGCCATAGCTGAACTACCCTGGGAACAAATATCAAATAGCTTATATCACGATTCTCCTAGCCAACAAATGCTCTGTGTTGTACTGTATGTATCTCTCCTAGGTCACCTGTCCTGTATGTATCTCTCCTAGGGACTAACGCAGGAGTTCTATACATTTTTATCCCATATTGACAATCATTTTTTTTTATCAAAGAACCTTGTTATATCAGACAGCTTCAATCCAATAGAAATATTTCAAAGAACCAGCTGTATTTATTTTAAATCAAAACAAACATAGAAATATAAAGATTCGTATTCGTATTTCTTTCATTCGTAGGCTTGATAATGAGACTAGTAACTATACCTGGCATATATACTACATATGTAATAACAGAATTAAGAGGATAGATAGGGTGTCATGACAAGAGTGACGTCTCTTTTTTCATAGAATAGGTATGGCACTGCTGACTTGGAATAGGATCAAAGAAATTTCATGAATGTCCACATGTTGGTACATAGTACAAACACATTTGATATTGTTTCTGTTTCATATGTGCTGTATGAAATTTATAAATATTTTTCGATACAAAATTGGAAACTTGCTCTATAGATCTTGCATAAGATGGACACATGGCTATATCACATAAAGTATTATTAAGTTCCTAAACCTGATGTAAAATTTTGGTCTGAAAAGTTGAACAGAAGGCCATAATAGTGTATATGGAGGAATAGTGGTTAAAGTCAATAGCATGTATGGAGTGACAACGTGGTGCACAGATTATATTCTATTCTATTATTGCAACAGCAGTAACAACCTGGAAACCATGAAAGACAGCAAGCACTGTGTGAATCAAACTTTCTCTTTAAGAGTATGACATGACATAAAAACAAGGAGGTATAGATCTTCTGTTTTCAAAATCTACTGCATATCAGCAAAATATGTATTTATGAAATGATATATCATATAAGCCAGACACTAGATATTTGCCCCAGTATATGTATATTTGTGATATAACTAAATCCTACGACTATTGAAAGTATCATTCTGTGTATAACATTAGGGCGAAAACTGTGTTCCACTTAGGGCTACTTATACCACCCATGAGGGCCTTTCTCTACTCTACAAATTAGTCAGCTTGTACCGGAAAACTCTTCCATACCTTGTTCGTGTCACGTACAAGTGCATTACATACCGTTAGCACCTAATATGGTCACCCTCTCATGGGCAGCCTAATCCCTTGCAGTTAGGGTTGGCATGTAAATGGAGACCTGACATTTAAGGACAGCCCCTAAAATGATCTTAACTTAATATTCTCTAATATTTAACAGACCAAAATTACAGCATCACAAATGACCAGCAGACAATGTTGACCAACTTCATGTATAAGATGTTTTCTGATAAAAATTATCATAATTATAAAGTATCATGACCTCAGCAAAGGGTTTCTAGTTGAACCTCGCCAACTCAAATGAAAATAAATGAATTAAAAAAATAGCATCACAGAGAAGAACAGTCTTTCCAATGTTAAAGTTGAAATGTCCATCTAAAGTATCACTGAGAACGTTCTTATTCCTGTTAGTAAAGCACAATATGGTTTAAACAAATTGGTCACAACCTGACAGAGGACACGCAGAACATTACAAAGGGCAGTAACTCTTAAAAAAATGCAAATAAAATCAAAATCATATGCATATGAAAAAGAAACTTTAGCACAAATAGGTTTAATCAAAGTCCTATAAAACAGAAGGTTTGAAAACATTTCCTCTGAGTGTTACACTGTTAGGATGATCATGACCAACAACATCTAATAACATAAATAAAAAAAACACTTCCTGACACGTCTATGAATTTTGATAAGAAATTTTGAAAAGAAATATTACCAATATTGATTTGATATTAGGATTTGTTGATAAAGTTAACACTTGTTGCTGAGAGAAGTACTGGGTAAGTATGTTTGACCGTGTTACATGTTATTCTATGTGGGGTTAACAGTAATACCTTTTGCCTTTCACTCCCTAATCAGAGGTGAAAATTTATTGGTTCAAATACCATACCACCTTAAGACTCCTTCAACACTTCCATCTCGGAAAGCAAGGATATTTATTTAAACTATTAGCTTTTTCCGCCCAATCGTTGTTTACTAAAAAAGTTTTAACTCATATAAAAGGGTGAAAAATTTGGGATAAGTATGGTAAGCCCTTTTGCCACGTCATTCTGTGGGATTCAGATACAAGGGGACAGCGTATGAGGTACATGACTGGTGATCTCATTCACCCACATACAGCACCAACAAAACATGCCAACAATGCCATGTAAATCAGTGAGAACGTAGCCAATCCACAACTTGTACAAACACTCTAAATGTCCTTTTTATACCCCATAATTGAGAAATTATTTACAGCTGAACCTGTTCAGTTGTGGAGGTAATGAAGGTAAACAGGTGTTGTAAACAGAAGGGAACACGGCCTTACATTACTAAACTTCTTCTATTGTCACCATTTGTATGTATCACACCGCCAAAATTGGTGAACTTATGCTAAGTAAATACTGACACTTTATGTAATTAGCACCCACAGATAATGCAAAATGATTTCTTCAATACGAAAAATGGCTTCTATTGGATAAATGTGGACATGGTAATCTTTTGAAGTTGTCTGCGTCATTCTTGTTGACAGTTAGCGGGACCTGTACCCTGCTCCCGGAATTATGTAAACGTTTTGTGTGTGGGGACAATAGCACCGTATAACAGTAGGGGATAATGTCATTGTTAGATCTCCCTAACTGTTACCTTCCTCCAGTGACATTGTCCAAGCTTGGCTCTATTGTACTAAACACTATTCAATTGAATAGAATAGCTGTAAAGTCTTGTACTGTAACAGTACCCAAGTATTGGAGACCACAATATTTATAATGTCTCTTCTACTGACCGCAACAAAAATATTCATCATTAATAGGATGTGAAAGAAAGTTGAAACTCTTCTTACAAAAGCACATCTTCCCATACCTCCACTTTCACATGGTAAATGATATCTCTCCACTCTCAGATGGTAAATAATATCCCTCCACCCTCAGATGGTAAATAATATCTTTCCACATTTGCAATTAACAAATCCCTCCATCCTTGGATGGTGTAGGTGTATGTACTTACCTGTGCGACACAGACACTGGTAGGTGTAATCACTGGTGGCCAAGCAGGTGCCCTCATTCTCACATGGACTTGGGGTACAAGGGATGAACAGACTCTCACAGTGCTTCCCAGTGTACTTAATAGGGCAGTTACAGCTACAACAAACAGGGCTGATATTAAATTGGTGAAAGACAATGGTTTGAAATAAAAATCTTAATTTGTAAAACATTTGAAATTTAATTTAGCAATTTAATCTGCTTCTGAAATTATTAGAATTAACTTTTGCTTTTTTCTGTAGTACTAAAACAGTATCTGTATGGTTACATATTTATTATCAATAAGCCCATGCCTAGTGATAACCTAATAAACTAATGATATTTCATTGTTTTCTTTACACTGTGAGCTTACTGTAGGATGGGCGCAGTATGTTTGTAGATTTTCATCCTAACAACTAAAAGTCACAATGGATATCATCTCTTTGTGGATATCATTTTAATATTTTTACATAAATTGTATCATGCCATTCTCTATCATGTTACAGGTGAAAACAACCGGTACCAACTGTGGATGGAGCAGATTAGCTGTCAATATTTGTTATAGGATCCTATCCAGTATACGTTTATATACCTGGGTAAATTTGATCAAAAAAGTATTGTAGGTGTTAAGCATGATTCAATACGCTTTACAATCGTTACATCATAGTCTATTGTCACCATATGTTATGCAAGATTTGATTCTCTAAATTTAGCATCAGAAAGATAAACCTTTATCTGATATCCATACATGTAGAAATGTAATTCTAGATCAGTACCGGATGTGTATTTTTTTTACATAGGTATATGATAGTATACATCCTGTTGGGATTGTAAGGTATATTTTCCTAAGTATAATATGAGATTTTAACAATAATTATCCAGTGTGTGATGTGTAATTTGTTGCCATTTCCTCACAAACTTTAATTAGGGATGTATGCTACTTTGCTGTGCATACATTTCCTGTTTAAAAAGTTCCACAACCAGAACCCATTATAGTAGGTTTTTTTATTTTTCACCTGTGAAAGTTATTAATGACAAACTTGTTAAAAAAGAAAACAAATTAATTTCATTATTTACCCCTGGCAATTTTGATTTGAAACAATATGGGAGACAACTCTTTATATAATACTGTTAGGTAACATATATCATTTTATTGATATAAACATCTACAACCACTACACTACTTGTCTATCATAAGTAGTTATATATTTATAGGTATACAGCCTACAGGTGCTCTACCTGACAGTCTGACAGGTGATGATTTAATTACAAAGCTATGACATAACAGCTACACAGTACTGTTAACATTACCACTATGTAGACAGGAACTCCACATTAATCCTAGATAAGTCCTATCACGATTGTGAACAGATGGACAGTTATACACTGTACTGGACTTTACAAATAGTGGCACAATGACCAATGGTAAAAATAACCATTACATCTTCATGGTTGACAGTACTTGTTTTGTGATGGTAAGGTGTATTATCAATATATCAATATCACTGTCTGGAGTTGTGTTTGCTGATTTATGACCTCCAGACCTCCCAATTTATTGTCCTCTTCCTATCCCTGTTAGTAAGAGTTTTCTAAATTCTAACTGTAGTCATAGACTTTTATTTGACATATAAAAGTGATAAGACAGTGACTTAAATGTAGAAAAAGTCTTTTATCATTTTTATAATTTTGAATTTTAAAACAAGTAATGAATAAACAATAGCTTTAAAGGCTTATTTAAGGTCTCAGTAATTCCAAAAATACATTGATTTATTTTATCAAATGACATAAAGTGAACATTAGCAAATTTTTGTTTATATAGCTTCAGCAACACATTTCAAAATGTACAAACCATGTAATAAATCATTGTTCTACTGTTTTGTCTAAGTATTTCACAAAGTAATTCCTACCTTGGCTAAAAACCAATCAATCTCACCTGGCCTGACGCCACAGATTACATCACCCTAGGGGCCCTCACCCATCACCCAATAACTTACTCACTTTTTATCAGAGCAAAACGGATTGATGACAAAACCTAATATTTATTCTGTTAAGGAGACAAGCAAGCTGATCTGTATTGTATTGGACAAAAGGCGTGTTTGTTAACTAATCATGATGTTAATTATTGATACACGTTTGGCCTGTGATATGAAAGACCAATTAAGTTTGCGTCGCTGGTAATAGAGAAATCACACGACACCCAATCAATAATAAGATCAGACTGTCACAGGAAGTCAAGACTGCATTACAGGATACAGACACCGGCCCATACACCATGCAGGAAGCCGGTCGGCGTCTGTAGACCGGAGAAATGTGGCCACTCCGGTGTCCTCAGCAGCAAAGTTTAGGCGAGTTGTGAATGGATGTTCACAAAAATGGAGCAAACTTTCGTAAAAATGTTCACTATATCACCGCAGAGACATATGGTATCATTAATAAAGATAAGTGTACATACACTGACTTGAGAGTGTCTCCAAACTAATAATAGATATCAGATTAACACAACAAAAAATCTGTTGTTTAGTAGTTTCCTTACTATTATATTACAAATGAAATAAACAGGATAATGACATGTCTTTAACAACATAATAACAAAGCCTCACTTTGCATATTAGGAAAAGCATTGCTACTATGACTAAGTACCTTGAAAGTATAAGAGACAATCCCCTAAACTAATGTTGTCACAAACACTTAAAAATTATACAAAAGGGGTAGGACACTACCCAAATCTTCTACCTGGGTTGACACTTCAATATATATGATGAAGTGTTAGGGGTATTGATCGAATCGGGAGCGTATTGATTTATTACAAATCACCTTCAGTCACGCAAAGTTATAGAGCTGCGAGACCGTGTAGCAAGATATCAAAATAATTACAGGTACTTTAAAAAAATTTTTCTACCCAGGCCACAAATCAATTCAGTGTGACTAAATGCTCCATTATGGTTTGAACAGGTCGGAGGATTGACCCCGAAATAAATTTCCTACAAGGGGGAAGGAACAATGCCAAGGGTTATATGACCAAAGTGATTGTGTAAAATTTCAATATGAATCTGATGGCCCAATCCATTATAGAGAAAACCTCTAGTTTGTAGAGGCTGGTGAATTGTAAATGGTGATTGGATCAGGAAAATGTAATACAAAAAACTAGAGAGGGATGGCCTGTATTTAGCTAAGCAAGGCAGGTTATTGACCAGGGAAATATCTAATATCATTATTCATGCGCCTCACTTTCAATCATTACTGTTAACTGAAAAATTTTTATACCACCACTACTTGTGGTGGATTTAGTACTAAAACACACACATACTTGCTATTATGAATACATGAAAATTGTAAGTGGTATTTTTATAATGGCTGGGGTAGGGTAGCAATAGGTTTATTTGTTTATTTCAAGACTGAATTATGGAAACAGTATGGTGAAGATCCTGTGAAAATAACGACCATGCATGGGTGGGTGGGGGTGGGGGGTGGGGGGGCACTCAAAAGTTACTTTTAAAAGGCGATCAGACACCACCAAACAAAACATGACAACAGCAACTTCAGCAGGGAAGGATATAAACACGTTTTAAGCATAGACATAATTGACAGTGTTTTATTTGTGTAAGGCAGATATTATGTAATCACTGAGTAATAAGGATGTTGTGACATTTCATGTTGGGGTACAGTTCTACTTTTTGTAGATGCTAACATGTGACTGATATATGTGATGGAGAGAAGATCTGTACCTATATCCTCCGTAAGTGTTGTCACATTTCCCACCGTGGAGACACATTCCTGGGTTTTTGGCACACTCATCCATATCAACAAGACACCCCGGTCCAGTAAAACCAATCGGACAATTGCACCGGTAGCCATCTTCAAGGGCATGGCATGTCCCTCCATTGCGACATGGCTGTGATGCACAGTGATCTGTTAACTCACAATACTTCCCTGTAACAAAGGAAACATAAATGAAATACAATCTATCACTATACCGCTGATACTTTCTCCACTTCTGTTGAATATCAACAAAATTGAGTTTTCTTCATTACAATTTCAATATCATTATCATTATTATTGCAATCTTAACAGCCCGTCAACATAAAAAAAGGTCACTTGGGCCGTCAACTGGTGATCCAAAAGGAAATCACATCAAACAAACTAAAAAGTATAAAGACAAATGCCAAAAATCTTAAATGGTGAAATTATCAAACAAGATTGAAATGATGAGCATAGTCTATAATATAGACCAACATCTTTCAGATAACCTAGAATTTTATAAATTTCAAGTTTAAAAAACGGTCTTTATACTTGTACCATTTTGATAAAAAAAAAAAAAATCGAATAAAGAGACAGTCAATGCAGTCTGTGCAATAACTGAACAAAAACATTGACAAACAAATTAATATTTTGCAAATATGTTCCAAGATGACTTTTAACAGGACTTATCTACACAGAAGAGATACATACAAGAGAAGGCCCTGAGCATGTATTTTCATATCTGCTATTTACTTTAACAGTTAACAAGATCGTACTGTTCAGTTGTTTTAGTATTTTTATATTATTCGAGTATTTAACTTTTACCAGTTGCTATCTGTGACTTACTGACAGAGCCAATTAAAATGCGAAGGAGTAGAAAAAATAATCACATGTATTGACTACACGAAGCTTGTCAGAGTTATCTCCCTTTGTCTGTATGGTCTAGAAGATGGTAAACACGTCAATGATACCATATTTAACTCTTGACACACATTTGATAAAAACCAAATCAAGAACTGTAAGCTGAAAAGTGTTTGACTGTGTTGCCTATGTAACACTGTAACGATGCCTTCCTCTATTGCCTGTGTTAATACTACAGCGATGCCTAACTCTACTCCTGGTGTTAATACTTCAATGTTACCATCCTCTATTACCTGTTATAATAATACAATGATGCCTTAATCTATTGCTAGTGTTACTACAACAATGATGCCTAAATCTATTGCTAGTGTTATTACATCAATGATGTCTACCTCTATTGCTAGTGTTACTACAACAATGATGCCTAAATCTATTGCTAGTGTTACTACAACAATGATGCCTAAATCTATTGCTAGTGTTACTACTACAATGATGCCTACCTCTATTGCTAGTGTTACTACTACAATGATGCCTACCTCTATTTCCTATGACACAGTGACACACAAATTCTGTAAGGCTGTTGACAAGTTCACACGTTCCACCATTCTGACAAGGATGACTGTAGCATGCACTCTCTGGATCCTCAAACTCACACAGAGATCCAGAAAACCCTGCAATATAATGATAATACATTAATACTCCTAGTATCATGCTTGGTTAAGTACTGTTTAATGTTTTCTTTTGCTCTCAGACTTCATGGCGTACACTGATCTGGCAAACTTTAATTGAGAAAGAGTTACAAAGCATACATTTATTTCCTGCTCTTTAATGGCAAAAACATGACATTGGTAAAATAATCAACTCTGGTTTTAACAAGGAATCTTCAACTTTCCATTTGGTGATATAAACCTATTTTACAAATTAGAGCTTGCCATACACATCATGAATGCTGAAGTGTTGCTCATTCTGTGAACATCCACAAAAACCTCAAAAACTATTAAATGATTGGCAGTCACTGTCATATTCAGATGGCATACATATGAGTCATAAATGCCACTTTTAGGTTGGTAATACTTATAAATCATCACAAATTCTTTAAATCAAATTATTTCCTATAGCAATTTATGTTATTCTACAATGTAACTTAATATTCTACATAAACCTTACTTTATTTTAACTGTTAATAGCCATATTTCATAATTCAACACGGATCACACTCTACTTTACTTTAAATATTATTAATAATTCTTACTGTAAATTACTTTATCATGTAATATTTACTTATCATATTCTGTTTTAAAATGTTTTAAATTTTAAATCTCAACATCTTCATCATTAATTTCATATTTCATAATTCTATTGATTTACAGTAAAACATTTAAACTTTTGAATCAAAAAGTTTACAAGCAGCTTTAGCACAATTCTATATGGCTGAATTTTATGGAATATAACAAATAACAGATTTTCAAAAATGTGTTGAAAAATATCTGAATTATAGGTAAAATAGGAATATCTGTAAATGATGGCACACTTACCTATTTTACAATTACATTCAGGCCTAAAGTTGTTGTCTTGGATGACAATACAAGTTCCGTTATTAAGACAGAGATTGGACCCCCAGCAAGGATTATCATGTTGACAGTATTCACCAATGAACTGTTCTCCACAACTGTAAAACAAATAATGGTACAGTTAATTGATACTTAAACTAATAATCAATAAACTTTCAGGATAAAATAAGTCAGGAAGAGTTATCTTTCTTTTATCATCTGCTGTGTTATAGTAATGAGTTATCTCCCTTTCCTCATTGAATAGCAGTAACAAAATTGACAATAACTTCCACTACTGAAATGCATCAAATATAAAATGTAATAATATTGATAATGATTTTCTCTAATGTTCCTCACTGCTTTCAGTATGTGTTTTAAATGAAATCAATTAATTTATGAATCAATAACTCTTATGTTCTTAAATTTTTGCCATACCAATTCATTGACAACAATAAAATGACAACAGTTCAATATAAATCTTAATTTAAAGAAAATTGTAACAATATATACTGACACCTGCAACTATAGGGTTATAAGGCAGAAATAAGTCTGTGTGAAATATCCTTGATGGGACACCTCTATATACATAAACTTGGGACTCCCAGTAAGATACTTGTTAGTGTTTCACCAGAGATATGATAAATAGCAGTGTAGTGTTTACCTTTCTTAAGTCTATCTGGAGAATTTTGTTGAGAGCATTGAGGCACTAGAGAAGTAGACCTAAGGTACCCTCTCCATCCCCTAAAGTTTGTAGTGTCCACCACAAGTGGCAAAAACCAGAGTTTGATCACTTCAAACACCATGGTCACTCACAAACACCACAAACCACTTGGTCTTATCAGAAGACCTTCTGTACAAGGCTTCTAATTGGCAGGACTACTTTTATACAAAAAGGTGAAGGTTGCTATATCTAAAACATATCTATATCTAAATATAACAAGTGAACATAAAAGATCTGCATGTTCTTTCTTCACATTGCCTTGACTAGACTTAATGATTGATCAGAATATTTGAGTTATGGGAGGACATGCAGTCGGCAACCTCTTGATATTGGGGAAGTACCCATATATTTTTTGGCAGAGTTATTTAAAATGATTTTGGAATTCCTTCCCTGTATTTGGGATTACTCTCACGTCAATGACCTTATACAGTGCAAACTTAATGTGTATCAAATCTCCAATCAATGAATAGTTCAGTTTATATAAAATGAGAATTAGGTTTAGACACAGATTGGGGACAGCAACCATTTATGTATCAGAAGACTCAGATGTTGTTCTTACATGTGATTGAGCTATGTATACACATTAAAATTCTGAAGTTGCAGAAATTCTGAAACACAGAATTAAGAAAATAATATTTAGGAACTTTTCACATGAGATTTTGATACAAATTCCATTCCTTCTGTTATAACATGCATAATTACACAAGTTCTATAATAGGTAGAACATGACACACCACATTTCGGTACTCTTCTTGGTGGAACCTAATGTAAATCCCAAACTCCAAAGGTACACAACTGTCTTCCACCGATATTAAAAAGTTTTCCATTTATCATTTAAAAGAATATTTTATGTTTTATAGGTTTTCATTTTATTTACCTGACAGTAAAATCTATCAAATTATAACAGAAAAGAGCAGAAAGAGTAATGTTATAACTAGAGGAGTTATCTCCCTCATCACACAAAAGCCATTATATAACAATATATCAGTCCCCCTCCCACCAACAACACTCTCTTGTCAGTAACTAACAGATCACAGATAAAGGTGTGGCTGGATTTAACCTCACCTGTCCTGTCTCACCTGTCCAATCAATAACCTAGAGGAGTTGTCTCCCTCCTCACACAAAAGCCATTATGTAACAATATATCAGTCCCCCTCCCATCAACAACACTCTCTTGTCAGTAACAAACAGATCACTGTTGTCCTCCTCAAAGGTGTGACTGGACTTGTCTCACCTGTCCAATCATACAACCCTACCCTAGTCTTATTTATACAGTAATGTGTAAACTTATTGTTCAATTAACACCTTTATCAGTGAATCATGTACAGGTACTGTTAGAAATGGATGACCAGTGGTCACAGCTTGACCACTTGATGTCAGAAGCATGGGAATAGTATGCACTCTTCATAGGATCAAAGTCTGTCTGCTTTATATTCTACTTAACACTTAAGCTTTCACTTAGCAAGTGTCAGACTCAAGTACTTAATTAACAACTATCACATCACTGAAGACATCATTTGACAAATACAATTGTGTATCACGCTGATCAATAAGTGAAGTGTTTAGATCTGCTGTGAATGTTCCTTGTGGAGTTATCAAATATATACACACAAGTCTTCTGAGAAGGAGCAGAACTATGTACCAAATATACAAACGATACCCATTGGTCTTTTAAAATGAAGCGATAACACTTATTAGATTTATAACAAATGGTATGCGTTATTGGGAGAGAGCAGGACGTTGTGTGGTGGTACAATTATACGGAATATTATATAGGAATTACGCTACAAAAACGTAGATCTGTATCTGTGTGTTATATCACCCTGATTAATTTACAGACAACACAGGGTCTCACACACTCATCACTCCTCCTGATTAGTGCACCATACCTCCTCTTATCTTACCTAAGCTTGTACATGGCGGCAAGATTGTGATGCCGATAATGTTTTAAATATCAACTAACATATAAGCAGATCCATCAAAGTCAAAAGAACGTTTGACTCTGTGAACAGGGAACATGATCAAATGGCAGCATGCACTCACAGCCAAGTTCAAGCTTTGTACATATTATGATGTAACCTCTGATACCGATGTCTTATAAGACATCTTTACTTCACATTGCCTATTATACATACACATATGTAGTAACTTGTCATAGACTTTTTTCCTGGTAAAGTTATTGAAACGCTAGTCATACACATACCCCACATACTGGTGTTGTCTTACTAAACTGTACCCCTGTATAATCTATCCCATCAAAGTGTACAACGCTGTTACTAAATCACATGATAGGTGTGCTTCAATGTTAAAAATATTTTTTGTAAAGAATTAAAAGTACTGCATTATCTGAACAAAATCACCTTCTTTCAGAGAAAAGTGATTGTGGATAAACATGACATTCTTTGAGATCACCTGAGATTTGAAAAGGAAAAAATCAATTGAATTTTGGGACAAGTGCACCTCCCCATGTAGATTTTAATGTTTCTTTCAACCAATTTTGATTTTACTCTGTCACAGCCTACTGGTTTCTTGATTGATGCCTTATTTGATACTGTCAAACATGAAGTGCATATTATACAATTAAACATCCCTATTACATAGTCACTGTATGTTATATCCCTATATTACTACTGCCACATTGACACAATAATGTAACATTATATAGCTATATTATTACTATAGTATTGATACATCCATGTAATAATGTATGTAAATATCTATATTGTCATATTGATACAACTCTGTAATACTCTATGTATATATCACTATATTACTAGTGTCATATTAACACATCCCTGTAACACTGTATGTATATATCACTATATTCCTACTGTCATAATGACACATCCCTGTAACACTGTATGTATATATCACTATATTACTACTGTCATAATGACAAATCCCTGTAACACTGTATGTTCATACAATATTACTGGAGATTTCCATCATGTATACACATAGCATGTCTATAAGTACTAATTGAAAGTAGACAACACCCTTGAATTATTTATTCCAAGATTCATGCAGTCTAGGTATCATGTACAAATTATCTGTCACTATATTACCAAGTGTTACATGCACCATCTAGCACCAAAACATCCAGTATGTAACTGGATTCTAACAACAACAACAAAAAAAATCACACTACCACAAATATGACAAGTAGATGAGAAAGTTATCAAAAATCCTTTATTTAAAGATAACTAACAATCTGTGTTGATACTGTTTTAAACAGTTTTAATAGACAATATTTTGAACATAAATTTTAATCTTATAATGATAATACAGATACCTATGTTTTACATTGTGTACAATATTAAGTATATAATGTACAACACAACATTTTCTTTCATTTGTATGAGTGTACATAATAATAAAACATATTTCATATTCAGCGTTCTCTTATACAGTGCAGTACTACATTGAATACAGTAAATTTATTATACATTGTATTTTAGATACAGTGTACTTATAATATAATGTATTTTAAATATAGTGTACATATGATGCATTCTGTTTATGATACAGTGTGTTTGTATTTTTAAAACCGTTATGATGCTTTGAATTTTTGATAGAGTATAGTTATGATATGTGATACTTTTGCTATGTACAGTAGTTACATATTAAATGAAATGTATGAAATATTGTGTTTTGCTTTAAACAAAGAAGTTCTTACTTTGATTTCTAATAGAGATATTTTAGCAGACAATAACCGTTAAAGATACCTACAACCTTAGGTAGTCAGTAACTGTATATTTACAGTGTAGAAGAATCAGCCAATCAGATGTCTTCCTTGTTATCTCAACGACAGGTGCTCTCACAAGTGTGTGACCCAGAAACTCTACTATGAGTCTAGAGGAGCAGATTTTATCATTTTACTATATGTTGGCTGCCATACATGAATATGATGTATGTACATGCTCCATGATTTATACACAGTGCTTATGATGTACTCGAATGATCAATCCTTCATTTCCCAGTCCACATAAAGAAACAGTTTCCAATTCAATTATCACCCAGGTAAAACATCCTTATTCCCAAGGTCCATAAAACCCTATCTCCATTATTTTCCAAGTCCATATATCCCTACCTCCATTTTTTTCCGGGTCCACAAATCCCTACCTCCATTATTCCCCCAGGTCCTCAAATCCCTACCTCCATTATTCTCCAGGACCTTACTTCCCTATCCTCATTTTCCCCCCAGGTCCACAAATCCCTACCTCCACTATTTGCCAGGTCCACAAATACCTACCTACATTATCCATCATTGAAATAAGAAATGATAAGTTTGATATTACTGATTGGAATAACTTCACTAAGAATTACCTACAATGAAAATACAGAAAACTGTGGATGATAATTCATATGAAAAATACATCATTTTTCATTCAAACCTTA